GCACATGTCTACATCCAAATCTCATGAGAGTGCCCCGCACTTTAAATCATATGTTCTCCTTGTCCGACTGCTGTCGCGCCTTCTGTGACCCTTGTCGGGGGGCGAATGCAATACACGGCTCTTAGCCTTATTCGCGACTCGATCCTAGATAGGGTTTGAGCTCGACTCTTGACTGAGTCTCTCGTGAATAGTCATTTGAGACAGGGTTCTCAATGACCGCGCTAGTCATACTAGGTTGATGATGAAACATCGCTCTAGATATTTAGCCAGCGTGGAGTACTTCCACGCTACTAGATCCAGACTAGACAAACCTTCCACGCGTTCCGTTTTAGGATCGTGGAGAGACGTAGGATTACTACCGCAACCTACTCTATCACACTTTATAGTCTCCCGCGGGAAGCCAGATCTACGATCCCTTGATGATGATCTCTCTCGTTGATTAGTTTTCATAGCTTTCTAATCTCTCTCATAACTTTCATTCTCTCAAACTCAAAACACTCGAAAGATCTTTACACTAGCTTTTAGCGTAGTGTAGTACTGGATTTCAATTCTCCCCAGTGTAACTGCCCACTGACCACAACCAACCAACATCTGGTACTGGGTAACTCTGGTGCTGTCTAAGTAGGGTGACTCATCCAACTCAGGGTGATCTTCTGGTTCCATGGGAGATCCATAGTTCTTCAATGTGATCTTGTAGAGTGCTTCAAGCTTGGGGATCAAGTTCTCAATGTAGGTCTTGGCAGAGAACTCCCAGAGACCTGTCTCAGGGTTGAAGGTCAAGTCTCCTCCACTGTAGTACTCAGGGGTGCCTACTCCTTTCATCTCAAAGTGGTAGATGTCCTTGAGGGGTTCAATCACTTGGTGAGGGGCCTTGGAGAACACCAGAACATCATCAACAATGACCCCAACATACTCATAGTGGTTCACTTTGTTCCTCATCCAAATATTGCTATCAGCTCTGGAAGGGTTGAATCCCATCTGGATGAGGGTGTCTGCAAGCGTCTGCCACCACATGGCACCAGAGACCTTGAGTCCGTACAATGCCCTGATGACGATGCACAGGACCCCAGCTAGGTCTCCCCATTCATCTCCAAGGGTCACACAGATCTTTTCAACTGTGAGGGACATCAGGTAGGCATACCCAACATCCCCTGCAATCACCTCTAGCTTCATCAATGCAGCAATGACAAACACCATCCTGATGTTCTCGAGATCAACAACCCCAGAGTAGAGGTCATATGGGTGGTCCTCAGTCATATGGCCACCTGCAACACACCTGGCTCGGTGCCTCCCATCAAACTTCACAGAGAAGCGCCAGAGCAACTTGATCTCCTGGTACTCATCGGTCACCTCCCCTGGTTTGGCTTTCTTGAAGCAGGGGAACCTATTCTTGAGTGTGTCCACTTCCTTTTCAATGGCATCAGTCCACAGTGAGTTGCCATTGATCTCATCCAGCTTGTAAGCCTCTGCCTTGGTCCTTGGAACCCTCACTCCAAACTCATACCTGACAGCACCACCAGTCCTCTTCTTCATTAGCCTCCATTCCTGAGGAACTTCTTCCTGTTCTTTAGATACTTGTGGGCCCACTTCCACCTGGACTCATGGACAATGCCTTTGAGGGCCGCATACTCTGCAAGGACTGTTGGGCTGTCCTTCCTGATCACTTCCATGGGTTCCCAGGTAGCCTCATCCTCAGTGAAACCACTCCACTTGACCTTGACATCAATCTTTCCTTGTCTACCAGGTTGTTTGGACCATTTGTGGTCTAGGATCTTATCAAAATCCCAGTACTCTGCATCAGCATCATCTGACCTGGTTAGCATCTTCACGATCTCTTCATACTTATAGATCTTCTGCTTCCCACCCTTGAATTCCACCCTTGCTTGGGTGGTACCATCCTCATCATTGTAGACCTCTTTAATCTGACCTTTTACATCTCTTTCTACGCCTTTCTTATTGGGGATG